ATATATATATATATATATATATATATATATATATATATATATATATATATATATATATATATAATGTATTGTTATGTAATAAGGAATTATATAATAATATAATAAGGAATTATGTAATAACATATAAAAACCAGAAAAATTTTTATAATAAATTTTTTTTATTTTGTAAATATATATCTATTTATTAAAAAAAAATTAATATCAATGATCGAAATAAGTTTATATTAAAATTTTTTATTGCAAAATATATTACATCAAAATATATCAATCACATATAAATATATCAATATAGCAATGTGAACGAAGATATAGAAACTAATTTAAAAGAAAAATCTTAAACATTCGGACGGATTTTCTCTACATACTAGAATAGAAATAAAAAAACCACTTAAATGCTAATTTAAGAAAAAGATAAAATATATAAAAATATTAGGTAATAAAATATTAGGTTGATGCAAAAATAATCGGTTCTTAGCTTTCACTTCCAATTTCAAATGCACATATTTCAGCAAATAATAATTTCAGCAAATTTAATAATCAAAATTAAAACTATTACTAATACTAATAAGTAGAAGAGAATATGCGCTTTAAAATAATATTAACGTGAACATAAATATAACTTAATTAGAATAAAGCATCAAAGTTTAAAAATCGACAGTAAAAATTGACATTATTTTTGCATCAATCTAATATAACTTGAACATAATAATATTGTTGTCTAAACATAATAATACATAAAACAAATACATTTTAAATATTGCAATAGTTTGTAGCTTTGGTTACATTTTAAATTGCACTTTGATACTGATTAGAAAAAAATATATTCTAAACATAATCTTAAAAATTTTAATGTTGCATTCTCACTTCAAGGTTTCTACTTATTGTAAGTTTCATAGAGTGAGTCGCAGATGCGCACATTGACAAACGGACACATCCAATCATATGTCATTGTTTATAGAGTCTCTAGAATATCTCTAATCATATGGTGTTGTGGTTGGCTGTGTCCGTTTGTCAATGTGCGCATCTGGGACGCTCCCGTTTCATATAAAATTTTTAGCATTGATTGCTGTCTTTTTAATTGTTCATTTAATGGTAATCTATCTAATAGATGTACGACTAATTTCGCAAAAGCTTCATTCCAATTACCATCAACTTCAGGATTACGATTTCCCTGCAAATTTTGACTTATGGTTTCACACAGTGAAAGTAAAGAGTTTTCCAATTGAAACGAATCATTTTTTATCTTCTTAATTGATGATTTTCGTGATAATAGTGTTGCTTGGGTAACACTGGATCCTGAAGAAGGTGTGGACTCTCTGAATGAAATTGAGCTTCTAGACATCTCATCTAATTCATCTAAACTATGAGGTATATCAGCTATACAACGTCTCGATGAATTACTTCCAGTTACAGAATCGTTGTCCAGTGCAATTGCTGATAAAGCTGGACCAGTGCATTGCAAAACATTTTTCTTACATGTTACAAAATTTGTATACGGTCGGATCAATTCATCTTTTGAATTTGAGATTTGCGAGGTACTATTAGGTGCTGGAGGTTTCAGATTTGCAGTAATGTCACTATTTATTGATAAATTAGAGTCATGGATATCTCTTTGGCGTGTCATTGAAGCTGTCGATGCTAGTTGCGTGCAAGCCGTGTTTTCCATGACTTCATTTTTTGATTGTTTCACACTTGAAACATTTGTATAGGACCTACAAAAGAAATACAATACAGAAAACTGTGCAATAGCAAGATGTAGAAAATTGATTCGAATTACGAACCACAAACTTACTTTCTTTTCTTAATGTGATCATTTAGAAATAACATATTTTCATAATATGCGAAAACAGCTCGTCAACAAACTCCACTGCCATTTCTTGAATCTAATTCTCGTTGGCGTTTCTCTCTTCCAAATCGTTCATGCAGCCTCAGCCATCGATTTTGAATCAGAAACAGTAGTAATTGGTACATTATTAATATAAATAATAAAATAAACAGAAAAAGTAAAGAAACCAGTGAATAATATATAATAATTATAATTTGTTAATAACATTTATTTACCTGGTAAGTTCACTGCCAAGGATATCTCCCTCCATCAATTTTCTTTCATCAAATTGTTTTTAAAATTACGATCTTGATGATTATATAAATGTGGATATGCTCTCACTGCATCAATGAGTAGTTCATCACTTTCTTTAAAGCTGTCGTTGTCAATTGTCGTTATTTCATAATTTTCTAATTCATTAAACATTGTATTACAATACTGATTATCAGGTTGGGAAGTAACGCGTTACTTGTAATGACGTTACTATTTCGTTACTTTTTTTTGGTACCGATTTGGTAACGCCGTTACTTTTTTGTATCAGTAACGAAAAAGTAATGGCGTTACATTTTCTTTAGTAACGAGTAACGAAATTCATCGTTACTTATATCGTTACTTTTTACTATGATGGCTTCTACAGAACGCGGCAATGCTTGCTACGTGATGAAAGTTTGCACATGATAAACAATTAATGTGCTGCTTTCCGTAAAGCCCATTCTACAATAAGCAATAAATCTTAAGTCATAATAAAATTGACCAACCATAGTCGACTATTATATAGAAGAATAATCCATTGTAATTGGTCAATTTTATTGCGACTTAAAATTTATTGCTTATTGTAGAAAGTCTCTAAAGCGTGATCTACAATGAGAACTTAAACCATAAAATTTAAGCTTTAATCTCTAAGTCGTAAGAAATTATTTTTCTTATAATTGACTGTGATTGGTCAACTTCTTACGGCTTAGGATTTAAAGCTTA